CCAAACCCTTAATGTAGTCCTCACAAACAGTGGTTTTACCGGTTAAACTATCTTTTGCTAAAACTAGTGCATCCTCATTCATGTACAGGTGCCTGCACAGACATAACTGGCTAGAATAACAGTCAGTTGTAACGAAAGAATGTAGGTATGCGGTTCTGCCTACACGCCCCTGTGTTTTCTGTAGGACAAAGCGCCATTGTCCTAAGTTCATGTAGCTTCCAAAGTCTTGGAGTTTGTGATGAAAAAGGAGTTTTGTTACGCTGTTGTCCACATGTTCAGTTTAAATGCAGGTATAAAGCTTTATGCTAACACTTGTTTATCTCTCTCCTCCCAATAAAGCACAGCCAACAGGGCCCTGCTGGTTCTGCCTGGCCAGCCCAGAGGTTGAGAAGCACTTAGTTGTTAGCGTTGGCACGCATGTAAGTACTCCTAGCACATTCCTTCTTGTATGAAGGCAGAGTCATGCTAAGACATAGCAATTTAAAGTGTCAGTCTATAACTTCTTTTAAAGAAGCTTGGCTTAGAACTGCTGTCAAAATTTACTGAAGTACACAGATGCAGGCCACGAAAGACTCTTTCTCAAACTATCTGCTGATAACATTATGTTCAACGAAAGAGTTTGATAGTGCATCCCATCTACTGATAGTCTAGACAGACTGTCTGTAGTCTACACAAACTATTAAAAACAGACATAGTCTGTGGGGTTTTTTTTACTGTTTTATGTTAAACAACAACAAAATCCACCTCTAAATAAACAAACCAGTCCAGCAGGGAAATTCACTCTGCTTTTTGCCTGTATTTTTTCTGTTTTAGACTGAGATCAATAAGCAAGGAATGTACTACAGATCTTGCTGAGACAACTACGCTCAGAAGTATAGTACCATGCTCACACCGCCCACACATATGCGCAAGCATCCCCCCGTATACACTTTACCAATTCTTGTGTAACAGCAAAATATTCCCTGGAGTGAATGGAGCTGTAGCAGCAGAACTGTGTAGTGAAACTATCCTCGTCCTCTTCTCCATGCCCTTCCATAACTTGGACCCATGGTTTTCTTTTCAATTTCTTTCATTTTCCCCCTAAAAGACACAGGTATATAGACAGACTTGTAAAAATGAAACATGGCCCTATTTTGCTCAGGCAACGGAGCTGAACTATGCTGACAAAATACTTTTTTGGCTATGCCAGCCTTAAAGGTTTTCATCTTACCACCTGACAAAACTCTTCCAGTGCGAACTCAGTGTGAGCTGGCAACAGCTTGGCAGCAGGATGCACTGACTGGAGTTATGCCAACTGTCGCTGGGGTGATTTGTTCCAGTTCTGTCATATACAAATTAAACAGAAGATTCGTAGTTTTTAGTTATTAGTCTCCAGTATGTACTTGAGGATGTTGAATTAATCATTGATCTCTTTACCTTCCCTAAATTACTACTCCTATCTAGTGTAATACACTGCTAACTGCTATAGGGACAGATTTGTCCACATGTTCAGTTTAAATGCAGGTGTACGTTTTCAAGTGGTTTTCTTGTTTGTCTCTTTTTGTTGTTTTAATAGAATTTCTTGATACAGTGGTTCATTCACTTGCCTTCTTTCAGATAACTTATTTCCTCATGTTCTGGCACTTTTTTTTTCTTTAGTAGTCCCTGCCTTTTTCTTGTTCATCTAGTAATTAATTTCTAATAAACGTAATCTCTAGTAAGTGTCATGGAAAAGGAGGCTTTACTGATGCGGGATAGCTAGGCTGTGGGATGCTCTCAGAATGTTGTCAGAGAGCACAGGTAAGCTTCACAGCATGGTAAGTGTTTGCAGTGAGTGAGTAACTGATATATATTGTTTCATTCCAGTGCTATCTTGCCCTGGCCAAGGGTGGCTTACTACCTGATCACGTCCTGATTTTGCCTATTGGGCACTATCAGTCCGTAGTTGACCTGTCTTCGGAGGTGGTGGAAGAAGTGACCAAGTACAAATCTGTCTTAAAGGAATTTTTCAGAAGCAAG